ACGCTCGTCGGTTAAAGGTACTCTTGATTTGGCCCATTTTTAATATATCGCCAATTTGGTCGATAAACTTTAGCCTAGGGCGACCCTTACCGACTATGCTGTTCACCTCTGGAACATAAATTTGCTTTGTCACTCTTTCCTCATTCATTCTTTCTACATGGCCAAACCACCGAAGCATTCCTTTCTTAATCCTGGTCACAACATCATCTTGCAAACCACACTCTTCTCTTATTAAACAATTTCTCACTCTGTCATTCAGCTTCATCCCTAACATACTCCTTAATGACCGCATTTCTACAGCATTTATTCTACTCTCATGCTTCTTCTGCCACACCCAACTTTCACTACCATACATTAAAGTAGGTACTAACACAGCATTGTGAATTGCCATACGTGCCTTTTTGGACACATTCTGACTTTTCACAATAGAGTGTAGAGCCCCATTCACTCTATTTCCTGCATTCACTCGTCGTTCTATATCCTTATCATATTTACCATCCCTGCTAAACACACATCCCAAATATACAAACTCATCTACTTGCTCTACCAACTCCCCTTCTATTCTTATTTCACATATCGTTTTACTTGTGGACATTAGTGTGATATAAATTATACATGTTAGGTACTCCTGGTATAAAACAACCGTCTTGTATTATAATAAGAAGCAAATATTTCATATGCAATACGATAAGGTCCTACTGGCTAACGCTAGTAATTTAATTTTTTGTCTTTACGTGTGCGAAATAACTGCAAGATAAGCCGCTTAGTCGATGAACAACGACAAAATTCAAATGTATTCCATTATCACCACTAAAGTGCTTAATATCAAATGCACTTGGCTCAAATGTAGCTTCTTCGAGAGAAAAATACAAGTACCTGAAGTTCTGAAGTTTTTGTCTAAAAAATGTAGAAAAAAGTAGTTTTGACGAGCTATAGGTATCTTCTGCCATCAGGGCAACTGTTAGTTCCTTCTTACCAAAATTACTAAAGGTAAAACTTTTTTACACAACTGAAACATACTCCATTATAAGCGTAATATTTTATGCACTTACTTAAAAATGAGCCGGCTCGACTGGGGAAGGCCTACGCTTGCTCAGCGTGAAACATGTGACTTTTCGTATGGAAATTAATGAGAACTGGAGACCCTTTTCACTGGTCATATTATCTTAGTGCTCTGGAGTGAAAATGCGTTCATATTTTGCAACTTATTGCTTATTTATACATATAAAATCACTGCAATCAAAATTATTATAATTCAGTCTTAAAATATCTAACACAGTAGAATCTTGCTATTTTTATTGATTTTAAATCATCTCAACTCTACTTGCTTTTGTAAAAGTAGTGAGGAATTTATCATATGTTTTGCGTCCATAAATTTCATAGATTGCAAAAAAATCTTTCTTATTCAAACGTCCAAAAACTTACTGCGACATAATAATATTCTTAAATGTGCTAATAAATCAAAACTTTTTTTCTACAGGATTTAGTTTTATTCGAACGATGCCATATTGTAATGTATATGCGAATAATTTAAAATAAAAACTAACTTTTTTATAGATCAAACTGTTCTTTTTGTACGTAGTAAAAATATTTTGTCGAACATTGTCTTAATAAAAATAAAATAGTATTATTACCAGGTCGTCACTCCATCTAGGAGGACGCCCTACACTTCGCCTGCCGATACGAGGCTGCCACTCGAGAACCTTTCTTCCCCATTGTTTGACGGTTCTTCGAGCTATATGGCCGGCCCATTGCCACTTCAGCATACTAATTCTTTGGGCTATGTCGGTTACTCTGGTTCTTCTGCGGATATCCTCATTCCTAAGTTAATTACGAAAAGAAACTCCAAGCATAGTCCTTTACATAGCTCGCTGAGCGACTTTGAGCTTCCTCATACGGCCAGCAGTGAAGGACCACGTCTCAGATCCATAGGTCATCACCGGCAACAGGCACTGGTTTAACAATCTAGTTTTGAGTTTTTGAGGTATGTCTAACAAGAACATGTGTCGTAATCGCCGAGTTGAATCGTTGATTGACCTATCGGTCGAAGTTGGACTTACCTAGTCGGACTTATTGTCCTAGGTAAACATACAACAACTTCGAGCTTAGCGCTCGCATTCACTACCAGCATAAGTGTGACGTGGACGTTAAACACGATTTTTGTTTTGTTCATGTTCATCTTAAGACCTATCCGTTGGGAGACACTATTGTGGTCATTGAGCATAGTGCTTAGGTCATCCAACGATTCTGCCATAAGTACTATATCGTCGGCAAAACGAAGGCGAGTGATGTACTCGTTATTAACGTTAATACCATATCTTTTCTAGTCCACTGGCTTGAAAATGTCTGCACATGCAGCGGTGAAGAGTTTCAGAGATATAACTTTACCCTGTCTTACACCTCTCTACAATTAGATAGGTTTCGTGCTCTGGTTCTGTACTCGGATAGCCATCGTGGCTGTCTGTAGTTCTTCAAGAGAGCGTTGTCGCCTTTCTTGAAGAACAAGACCACTAGTCAGCATAACAGCCATTAAAGTCCATTGCTGCACATATGCCTTACTCATAGATTGCTTCATATGGTGGACATTTACCGTAGTAGCCACGTATGGCAAGCAAGTCAGTTTATTTTTTTTAGACGTGGGTGTGTTTTCCTTTGTTGTCTCTTACGACACCCACGGGATGATAAAGGGTAGTAGATATCGACCACTGTGCCATCTAGAGATTCCAGATTTTGTGATTTTCTTTTGTGACGCCAAAATAGATTAAGAATTCGTTTGGTCTATATGTACAGATTTCGTAACTTGACTACAGCTCAACCTATCGAATTCCAGCATAGCTTTGAGCTATCTTCTCTACAAAACAAATGTATGGTGTAAATATAACGTCAATTCAAGGTCATTCAAGAGTTTTTTTTTAAAGTATTACACGATGAATGACTTAACAAGAACAGAAATACCAACTATAATAACTGCTTACATGTTTTAGCGTGAGGAATATATGTAGGTTGACGAAGCAGAAGCCTATGACATAGATGTTTTAAAGTAAACTTCTTATTTTGGAAAAATAAAAATCAAATGGGTGTATAATAATTTCCTCCATACAGATCCCATCCGAGGCACGGCGATGAAACACCGCTAGCTTCCTGACTTCGCGCTGCTATTGATAAATTCTTAACAAAAAACAAAACACAATAATTGATTTTGGCCCGACCCGGGATTTGAACCTGGGAGCACAACATGATCAGCAGTCGCGATTACGACCACTAGACTAACGAGGCATTAAATGACCATGAAAAATATAATTGCTATTTAAGAGTAAGCATCATTCTAAAAATATAAATAAACTTTTATCAAAATATTAACTTATTACCCTACAGCACAATAAGACTAACTAATTAAATTCCAGTACATTTAATCGTAACATCTATCACCAGTCGATGCTCGTCACAAGATGTACTTAATACTCGTCCTTACTTTCCTAATGTCTTAATTGCGTAACTTGAACTTTTTCAATCCGAACTATTCAGTTTAAAGTTGTTTCAAAGCTAATAAGACCTTTAAAAATATTTCAAATTCCAAAATATAAAAAACATAGTTTGGTAAAAATATGTTTAGTAGTGGTGTATAAATATCTACTGACCCATATCGTCTTAAGGCTCTCGTAAAAGGCACCAGACGGTAACAAAACTAGGAGATGGGCAGCAGCATCTTCCTGACAACGACTTAAAATTATGAACATTGCGGTTGCCAACGCGCCTGCGAAGCATGGCAACTATGGCAAAATCCTCCCTATGTGGCAATCAATGGAAGATGCCTATGTTCAATTGACTACAGTTTAGTGGATTTCTACTGCCTGTAATGGAAGGATGGATGAACGTGAGAAAAATCAACATAATATGTATTGTCTCCGCCAATCTGGAGCTTGGATGGAGCATTTCAATCATTCATTTATTACAGTCAATCAAAAGTCTACCGCGGAACAAATACCTTGCAGTTTTTATTTTTAGTCGTTGTTACGAAAACGCTTCTGCCCATCTCCTGGATTGTTTCTCCGGGTCGCCTCTTACGGCACCCACGGGAAGACATGGCGTAGTAAATTCTCTTACGCCAGCACTATACGTCAGTCAGAAGCTGAAGTTTAATCTCGTATGTAATTTAGCTCGGCCGGCCGTACACTAATTGCACGGTAAAGCCCAGTAAGCCGAAAAAAATTATATAAAAAAGATAAAAGTTGAAGAGATCCTGTGCAGAGTACACTCATTAAAATTTGCACGGGCCAGTGCGTTTGTAAGTGTCGGCATAGACAAAGGATTTGCTTAGCGCATCCTCATAAAGTTACAGAAGCAGCGCTCAGATTTTGACGAGTTCTCGCTATAACTGGAAAAACAGATTGTTTTAAAATACATATCTTTTTACTAAAATGTATTAATGACTTTTTGTACAAACAAAAACAACTAGCTAACAACTGGCTTAGTCTGGATAGAATCTATAAAATTGGCGTTAAGGCTGATTTACACAGGGTCAGTAGACAAGTCAGTCGCAGCGCCAATGTCGGCGCCGCGACTGACTTTAACTGTTTACATGAAGTAAGTAGTAGTGGTGCGTTTCTCACGGTGAGCACACGTGTGTGAAGTCAGTGGGAAATATGAATTCGCGAAAACAACTGAAACGACGATTTAATTATTTGTTGAAAAATTTATCAATTTCGCTGTTGAATGAATTAATAGAAATGGTAGAAAATGAGATAACTAAAAATAAACTACAATGGGTAAGAAAATGGATTGACGATAGAAATGAAACTGGTGGCTCTGCTTTGTTGCTGAAGCAATTGCGATTTGAAGATCCTGCGGAGTACAAACTGGCTATGAGGATGTCACCACAGAATTTTGACGAATTGCTGTCAATGATATCGAGCTCTATTCAACGACATGATACATTCATGAGAGATGCTTTACCAGCCAAAATTAAACTGGAAATAACGCTGACATTTTAGACTTCAGGAATGAACTATCGGTTCCTTAGTCACTTTTATCGTGTCTCAAAACCAGCAATTTCTCAACTAATACCAGAAGTGTGCTGGGCAATATATACGGCACTAAAGACACATATTAAGGTAAGAAAATTTTTATTATTAAATTATTAGAAAATTAAGAAATACAACATCAAAATAGTATTAAGAATTTTCATAGGAACGCATAATCGTGTTAACAGCAGTGTTATTTTCACTTTCAGCTTCTTCGTTGATCGTGGTGCTGTAATTCAAACCTGCGGGTGTAATAATAACCTGCCTGGGGTTTACAAATGTAGGGTTCGTTGATCGATCGGAAGGATGAAATCCTAAAGAGCTGTTGATAGTGGCAGGCTCGGCAACCTCTGGCGGGTAAAATGTTATGGTGTTGTCGCTTGATATTGGGTTGGGCTCCAGGGAGTAAAATCCCATGCTACTTGTGCTGCTTGTTGTAGTTGCTGCCGGACTAGGGATAAAATAGTTAGGGGATGAAGAGTGTGCATTTTCTGTATACTTCTTTTGTTGTATATCAGCCAATCTAGCTTTGGATAATATTTTTTGGATCTCTTCTTGTGCAATAACAGATTGTTCTTCAGACAGTTTTTTTAGTTGAGCTGCCACATGTTTACCGAAAATATCAGCGTCAGAATCTTCTTCAAATGGTGACATATTAACATCATTTGAAACACTTTTTAAGTCCTTTATCATGGCGGCCATCTGAGATATTTTGGAGCGTTTTGATCGCGGATGCCCAGATTGATTGGGAGCTGTCACAGAATTTCGAACTGGCGTCTGGATGGCTTGAGTTGGCGTTTCAGTAGAATTATCATTATTTTCAGTAGATCTTGATACATTTTCAGCTCCATCACCAACACCCTCAGCTTCACCCAACTCAACGTCATCGTTGCTGGTTCCTGAGTTATCCTGTTAATGAAAATAAAATGTAATGTTTAATAAATCATTAGTTGATGATAATACGTATTTAGGTTGTAATTATTTTTTTTTTGTTTACAGATTCCAGAACGAGAGGAAGAATGGAAAATTATTGAAGACGGTTTCAATACCAAGTGGAATTTCCCTTCATGTTATGGAGCAATCGATGGGAAGCATATTATAATTAAAGCTCCTCCAAATAGTGGAAGTGAATTTTATAATTATAAAAAAAACAATAGTACAGTATTGTTAGCACTTGTAGACCACGACTATTGTTTTTCATATATAGACATTGGAGCGAATGGAAACGCCTCTGATGGAGGTGTTTTCAAAAATTCCTCATTATATCGTCGGTTGGAAGATGGATTGCTTCCTACAAATGGAGTAATAGTTGGTGATGCAGCATTTCCACTGAAGAATTATTTACTAAAACCCTATCCAGGTACGCAGCTAAGTACTGCCGAAAAAGTCTTTAACTACAGGTTGTCGCGTGCAAGGCGCATAAGTGAAAATGCTTTTGGTATACTGGTTTCTAGATTCCGAGTGTTCGAAAAAGCAATTCCAACCCATGTGGACACAGTTGATGCCATTGTCTGTGCAGCCTGTGCCCTGCATAATTGGTTGCGAAAGCGTTCAAGTTCCTACATAACATCTACTTGTGTAGACAGAGAGGACAATGATGGACAAATAATAGAAGGAACATGGAGATCGGAAATAAATTCACTACCAAGCATTTCAGAACAACAAAGAGGCAACCATTCCATGACTGCTAAAGAAAAAAGAGACCTATATAGGAACTTCTTTATGACTGCTGGAAGTGTGCCATGGCAATTGGATAGAATTCATTAATTTTATATAGGTACCTAGGATGGAAATAAAATAAATAAGTTACAATAACTACTTACCATTGTTTTCCTTTTTACAATAGCATTTTTTATAAAGCCGTCCAGTTCTTGAAACCGCTTGACTTTTGGGACATATACGTTCCCTCCAGCGCCAGATCTGGTGGATTTTTGTATCTTGTCGAGCTCTAAATAATATGTAGCCCTTATGGCTTTAATTTTATTTTTTACTTCAGTCGAAGTGAGCCCTCCGATTTGCATTTGTTGAGCCATATTTTGCAACGCTGTTGACCGCATTTCTTTATTGCGGTAATTTAGGGATTTAATATCCCAAAGGCACTCGTTTTCGCCATATAATTGCACCAATTTTAAGGTTTCGTCTTCGCTAAGCTTACGCGTCATTTTGATCGCCAGCGAAAAAAACGTGGTCACTCTACAACGCAGCGGCAGTGACTAACCACGCACTGACTTGTCTGTTTACACGGGGTTTATTTGGCTGGCGCGGGGGTGTGCGGGTGGTGGGGGGCGCCAACTGACTTTAAAATATTCGTGTCCGAATATTCAAGTCAGCGCTGACTTCAAGCCACTGTACTGGCTTCAAATCAGTTTACACAGTTTTTTTTCGGGTCAGCACTGACTTGCCTCGAATTTGTAGTCAGTTACTGACCCTGTGTAAATCAGCCATTATTTAAATTTAAGATTTTTTTTATAGGATCGATTGACAAACGAGCACACAGTACATCTGATGGTAAGTGGTTGCTGTGACCCATAGACATCTATACCTATCCTCATTAAGGAATCGAAATGCAGATGCGTTGTCACCCGTGAGGACTAAGATGGAATGCTCCTTTTCCAGTAAAAAGGGTCTCTGGTTCTCTACACTCACCATACGAAACACAGCAATTTTAATCTGCTATTTTGCGCTGGTATTCTGTGAGAGCGTGGTCCTACTCCGGTCGAGCCGACCCATTCATGCTACAACTATACTACTAATATAGCTGCAGCATAGCTCTACCACGTAAAGGAGATAATCAAAGAACATTCATTTTATCAATTTTTCTTATTTTTTAAACACTCTCCAAGTTTTTTTTATTAATCGTAGCCTAGATTCCTCATGGTATTGCTCTTTATCTGTTTTTAAAGTTCCATCACAATCAATTCACCTATTCGGAAAAAAACCGAAATACACAAAGAGACAAAATTTTTTAAAACGAGAAGGTACTTTTCAAAACTTGACTATTCCACTTTTTGTGTTTTTGTATAATTTAAAGAAATATAATTTTAAGAGCACAGTTATGTGTTTAATATAAAATGTTGATGAATTATAATATACAACAAAAATAGTGATTATTTTGTATGACTTTCAAATTTTTTGCTGTAATATAATATAGAATAAATCTAGAATTTTAAAATGGAATAATCAAGTTTTGACTAGGCTGATTGGAATAATTAAGTTTTGTTATGTGCTTTAAAGGAATAATCTAGTTTTGATTCAAACCATTGTGGATTAATCTTATTTTGTTGAAATTAATTTAAAATGGTGTTTTACTTAATGAAATTCTTTTTTTATTTTTTATATCATTCTAATATTATATGTAATATTATTTAATAACTTTATCACTTAAACAAAATTGACTAACCTCATTTTCATCTTGAAATAAAATAAATAAAACTAATGTAATTAAGAAATTATTTTTTTATTTAAATATACTTAAATTTTAACAGCCGTTTCATATTCAAGGCAATCACAATTTTCATCATTGTCACAAGCATCTTTTTCATCGTTTTCAGGATTATTGCAACCATTTATTATATTCACATACCAGGAAAGCTCCTGGTTTTCTGCCCAGTTTTCACCAAATTGTTTCACAAGCAGGTTTTTTACATCATTTTTCTTTTTAAATTCAAGTGTTTTTCTATTGCCAATTCAGCTAAATCAAGGTTAACCCGACTTGTTTGTCACAACAAAGTTTAATTTTACATTATTTTCGACATCCGATGTAAACATGTAATTTTCAAAAGTTTTAATGTGACATTGACGTTGGTTTCTTTTATTAATAGTTTTAATAAAAGTTATTCTTTTAAAATTCTATATACCTGTAACTTTCTTGTAAACCTTTTCCAAATCTTTAATATTATATGACTTCCAATCAATTCCTAATTTTTTTACTGTTCCAAACTGAGAGTAATATTGTATGTATTCTTCTAAGGTTGTTATAATTGGATGACACCTGAGTTCCTTTTCTACACGTCCAATAACCCTGTCAGCAGGCAAGAAACTGTTTCCTCTGACTGGGAAAAACAATTGTATTTTTTCTACATTTTCTGGTGACAGCTTTTGGAGCCAAAACAATAGTAAATGCACAATATGGGAATTTTTGCTCTGGCCCCCACAGCCATCACAAAACAACCTGATAGTATGAATACCATCAAAATCATGAGTTTTTAAAAAATCTAGTAAAGCAGAACCGATTTCTGTTGCGCACCTATTTGCTTGTATTTCAGTCCAATTGTAGAACATAAAAACAACTACCTTAAAAATATGAGGAAAAAACATGTTTTGTTACAATTTCCAGTGATAAAAAAAATATCTTCTGGATTAATCATGTTTTGTTGTTAATATGTCATTAATCTTCTTTTTCTTTTTAGGAATAATCTACTTGTGACGAAATCATGCGTTTTGAAATATATTTTTCTAGTTGATCTATCACGTTTTGTCAGGATTTTGTTTTCGATGCATATACATTTCAATGTAATCAACCTAAAAAAATTAAAAAATCTACTTTGGGCGAAAATGGAATAGTCAAGTTTTGAAAAGTACGTCCACAAACGGATGTGCATGTCTTCATATTTTACCTATTACTTAATCTTGAAATTTGTACCGTACCCGTACCGTATCCGGGCATCAACACATGTGAGTTACCGCTCACTCGGTCTTCGTAATCGATATTTTTGCGGGACTGATTAACTTCTTGGTAGTTGAAGACATAATAAAGCGCTCTATCTTCGTCTCAACATCTATGGAGTTGTAATCCTATAGTCGGACACGTCGGGCTCGTCCTCGAACTCAACTCAGCCGTGCGGCGTTGGGATTTCTCATGGGAGTGGTTGTCCGTTTGGTGGTCATGTGTGAAGCGGGCCGAACGTGGTAAGATGTCAGTACGGTCAAACATACAAACTGGCCACAAATTCCTAAATGCTCTCTATCTTCAGGTCACGTGCGATAACATCATTAAGGTGAAGTGTTTACATCGGCTATCGGTAACACGTTAAACTGGATAAATTGGATCGAGTGGTGTGTGCGCGCATCGCGTCGCGTCGTATGTTCATTGTGTGATTTTGATAATAGAAAATAAAACAATGTGATTCTATTACTTGTGGTTAAAGGCATATTACAGGTGTCTCATGACCGTGCTTTGTGGCATGACTTGAGGGAGGGCTATGTTCAGCAGTGGATTTGTGATAGGCTGTAAGAATAATGAAGGCCATGTTGAAGAAAATATCGTATTTTAGACACGATTTTGGTGCGCGAATATTGATACTTCTTGAAACGGAACATGGTCGGAAAAAATATGCGCATACATAAAATAAATTCTTAATCCAATAGACTTTTAAAAACTTTTAAGCGGTAATCATAAAATATTTTTCGATAGTATGAATATAATTATAATGAATAAGATTCTTAATAGGCAACATTTTTATTTAGATCATTTATTCACTGATGATAAGTATAAAAGTTTTAAATAAAGTAACGCGTGGTTTGTCATGTACACACGTGTGTGTGGAAACAAACTGCTACATAACAATACACTATTTCATATCAAAAACAACAGAATAATAAAAATAAATTACTGTCTTTATGAATAAGTCACTATAAATTAAATTAAAAATTAATAAAAGTTCCGAAATAAAAAGAGCTTATGATCTTCAAATGGCTGAACTGATTTCTCACAACATAGCTAAGAACATTCTAGATTAAGACACGTATCAAAAGAAAAAAAAAACTAAATCAAAATCGGTTCATCCGTTCAGGAGCTATCATGGCACACAAGGACACACACGTACACACTACAAACATATAACACCCCTCTGTTTTCGGCGGGGGTTAAAAGCCGCACTTATAAGCGTCGAATTGAGTACCGTCTCCTTTTTGAAGTCGGTAGAAAACACCTTATAATAATCTGTCGATAACAATAAAATTGATTTGATTTGATTTGAAGGTCCATGTCTTGTACTGTGATCGTTTATTTGCTAGCCAAATTTGACGATTATTACTTTGTCCCACATAAATAGGCACCATTTTCGTTAATTGTATCTGGTAGTGATTTCCCACCGTCTACTGCTGAATATAGGTCTCCCTCACACTGCCACAATATACGATCCTGAGATACCAGCGAGTACGATCACTTTGAACACTTGCTAACTTTTATTTAAAATTAAAATGCAAATTCCTTCAAATTAATCTTAGCGCTGTGATTGGCTCGCTGCCTGTTCGTGTGCAGACATCTATGCTGGTCTTAATTAATCCAGATTTATGCAGGAACGTTTTCAGTCCTATGTACATATTCTATTGTAAACTTGAATCAAAAATAACGGGTAAGAAGAAAAGAAAGATTATTCACATCGTAGGTTATGTGAACTGCAATAAAATTTAATAATAATTGCACATTAAAATTAAATAAATTTTTGCTCCTTCTATACAAATAAAAAGCATAATATAGATACAACCTAATAAAATATATAAATAAGATATTTAAACATGTAGAACACGCTGCAGCTATATTATGGTTATAGCCATTGAGTTATAATGTACGAAGTACTACTTTGTTGTTTGTTGTAGCATGATTATTTTGGCTCCACCGGGGATGGACTACAACGGAGGGTGATATAGCAGCTTAATACTGCTGTGTTTCGTATGGTGAGTGTGAGGGAACCGGATACTCTTTTTACTGGAAACGAGGCGTTACATATTAGTTATCAGAGGTGACTGCGCATCTGCATTTTGAT